ATAATTCGTAGTCCAAGCTCATTGGAAGATTTTATTGCTGTTGTAATTCTTTTGGGTTCTTATTCTGAGGGCATAAATTTGATCTGCTGTTGAAGATGCATTAATAGAAAGAGATAATGGATTAACATTATTCTTCTATCACCAAAGAAGCAAACTATTAAAGTTTTTTAAAAAGTACTAATTCTGATTCGTGTCCGAAGGAAGTTACTCTTCGGGAGTATGCTAGTGTTTACTGAATGCATGATAACATTGTTTCAATCTTGTGTTATTCAACTCCTTTTCTTTTGTCCAGAATAATTCTGTTAGGACAAAAAGAAATTAATTCAGCCTAAATTTTCTATGATTGCCAAATCAAAGTTGTTTCAGATGGAGTGCTATTTGTAAGCCTTATATATTACAGGATAGCGAAGGCATTGAGCAGCTGCAGTGCAAGTACTGGAGATATCATTCGTACCACTGAGAGGCTAAAGCAAGAGCTTGATGTCACTACTCAGCGCCAGGAAATTGTGTCATGCTTTCTTCGCGATTACCAACTTTCCAATGAAGAGGCATGTCAGTAGCTTTCTTGATGTATTTTTCTTTTTTTGAAGTTCAATGTCAGGGCATCAATTTATTTAGATTCTAGTAGGCTTATTTTGCTAAAACTATTAATTTTACTTCCACAATAAATGCAGATTTCTGCACTAAGGGATGAGGAACTGAATGATAATTTTTTCAAGGCACTCCAGCATGTTCAAGAAATACATGCTAACTGCAAGATACTCTTAAGAACACATCACCAGGTATCATATCATTGTCTCATCTTTTTGAAGGTTGCAGTAAATTCAAGTATGGCTTTGTTAACTTGGTAATACATTTATTAAAGATTTATGAATTATTTTAAAAAATAGCAGGGGAGGGATTGTGCCTGAAATAATGCAAGAATGAGAATTTGCATCCTTATTTCTATATGAAAATAAGTTAGTAAATGTTTTTTTTTAAAACCCTTGATCTGAAATACGTCCTACCAGTCTGTTAATGCATGAGTGTGTGGTGTAGGCCCAAGTTGTGGAAATAGTATCCGCTTTTTCTTTTTGTGGTTGGTGTTCTAAAAAATGCATAATTAGAACATCAGGCTCCTGCCAGTTATAGTATCCGGGGAGGGATTGGTTGTGTTGCCTTAACCTTATATGTGCTTTTAGCAGAGATGTTGCTTTGTAGTGCAAACTGTGGCCACTAATCACCAGAGGGACAATCTGACCTGCGTGCCCTTCCTTTTTTGTTTGATCTTCTGAATTTGCATATTTACTCATGAGCTTGAACTAGATAGTTCATAAATTCTTCCTAACATCAAAGGAAAACTCTAACAAAATTATCCTACACATTAAAATTGTAGCTTTGCTTCAAAATTGAAGTCTAATTATTGACTAGAAACTGAAAATACGAGCTTGTTAAACTCGAGTTTGCAGTCAAATAGCTGAATGGAATTATTACCACGACAAATGATATGCCGGAAAATTTTGATTTGAAATAGAAAAAAAGATCAAGAAATGTCTAAAGAATGTTGTTGCATTATTTTTCCTTTGATGTTATTTTATCTGTTGCTCCTCAGAATGCAAAAAGATTAACCAGCTTGTTTCCATTCTTTTCCAAATTTGTCAAATGCATTTTTAAAAGACGAAATATCTGCTTATGTGATGATGCCGGTGCATGAAAGCTTTTCATTCATTTTAGAGGTATGCATGACTATGATCATAAGCTTTTTTGCAGCGTGCTGGTTTGGAGCTTATGGACATGATGTCTGTTTACCAAGAAGGTGCATATGAAAGACTATGCAGGTAAAGCATCCTTCGTAGTGTTAAAATTGCTGAGTACTAGAATGCTATTAATGCAGAAAAGCTAATGCTTTTTTATTTGTTGCTGTGTTGCAAATCAGTGCTGGTGGTAAGAAAGCTTTCAAAACACGCCTCATGTTTCTTTCAGATTAAATGCTTGCTGCAAACTTTGCATTGCAAGGCATTTTTAGAATGTCTTTAAGTATTCATGCGATTGCTTGATCAACTATAACTGATGGAAATAGCTTGTATGAATTTTTAAACCATGTTTGCTTCCTCTTAGCTATGATACTTTCCGCAATGTATCTGGAGTGTAGGCAAATACATGAGGAATGTATGTTCCACTGGCAGTGTGAAGTCCTATGGAATATTTTGCTAGGATATGATGGATTTCATCCATTAAATAAAATTTCTTTGAAATGGAGATGTTCCTTGAGCATATACAAGCCTTTATGTGGCGGGGATGATTATCACTGGTAGTAGAAGCTTAAATTCTCAAAAAAAAAGATGTGTCAATCCAGCCAAGATGAAATATATTAAACAAAAATGTAGATTAGGTTATTATGCTACGAGTATCCAAAGAAAGCCTAGCCTTATGATAAGACAATTGGGTCCTGAAGGCTTGTGGAAGCACTAATAAACAAATTAGTAGAATTTTATGTATGAAGTTAAACTTTGATGGGAGAAGTATATTTCTGGAAGTGGCATTCTATAGGAAAGTGATTTTTCTGACATTGATGCATATTTTGTGCACCTGGAATATTGGTTAATCTGAACTGGGAGTTTTTTTTTATACTACTGTAGATTCTTCTGTATATTGAATTGTGAGTGCATGAGACTGGACCATTGTAAATGCAATACTTTTGTAGTTAACGTTATCCATTCTGCTCATGATGCTTTTTGACTGCACCTTGATCTTATAATTCCAGATGGGTTCAGGCGGAGTGTAAAGAGCTGGGAGACACTGATAACCCTGAAGTTGGTGATCTTCTTAAGAGGGCTGTCCGTTGCCTGAGAGATAGGCCAGTTCTTTTCAAGTATTGTGCAGAAGAGGTCTGAAGTAATCTCCATAGAGGTATACAAATTGACTCCAATTCAGTATGCACACTAATTTGCTATGTAATCAGGTTGCAAATATGAGGCATCATGCTTTGTTTAGAAGGTTCATAAGTGCTCTTACACGCGGAGGGCCTGGAGGGCTGCCTAGACCCATTGAAGTGCATGCACATGATCCTTTGCGCTATGTTGGTGATATGTTGGGATGGCTACATCAGGTTGGGCAATGTCAACCACTTCGACTGGATACCATATTTTATAATTACTGATGTTTGAATCTTTCTTCATGAGAAGGCTATTGCATCAGAAAGGGAACTTGTACTTGTATTACTTGATCCGGATGCCATAACTGATACAGGGTCAGCTGCTCATCTGTTTGGGAGGAACCCTGAAAGTGATTCCACAAAATCAGAACCTGATGCGACGTTTGTTCTTGATAGAATATTTGAAGGGGCATGTCGACCCTTCAAAATCAGAGTCGAGCAAGTTCTGCAGTCTCAACCTAGTCTTATAGTTTCATACAAACTAAGCAATACTTTGGAGTTCTATAGCTACACTGTGAGTTTGTAAACTTATTCAGTTATTTTGAGCACTATAATATTGTCCGATTTTGGTCTTGATAATTATTTCCTTACAGATTTCAGACCTGTTGGGAAGAGAAACTGCTCTCTGCAACACCCTTTGGCTACTCAAAGATGCTGCCCACCAAACATTCCATAATATACTGAAAAACCGAGGGGACAGGTTGTTAAGATATCCCCCATTGGTTGCGGTTGATTTATCGCCACCTCCAGCAGTAAGAGAGGGAGTGTCTTTGCTTCTTGAGCTTATTGAAACTTACAATGGCATGATGGTTTCTGCATCTGGCATGAAGCCAGACTTTGATCCAGTGTTAGCTGCTTTACTTGATCCAATAATTCAGGTATCTTTTGTCCAAATTTTATCTTTGCATGAGTGAAATTTCTAAGTTCGTAGTTGCTAAATGCTGATATTAGTATACTTTTCCTGCTAAAATTCTGATATATAAAGCGTTAAAGTTGGCTCATAACAGCAGCAAGTGTTGATTTTGCGGCTCCAGAAGTCTTCAATGAGCTATTACTTTTTATAGTTAATTAACATTTGATGAAGTAATGCTCCAGCATTTGCATTTTCTTTTCGTGAAACCTTTTTCAATATTTAGGTATCTAGTTAGTGTTGAGATTCACATGAAAGTTGAAAATAGTCTCACATAAGAAGTGAAATAAGAGTTGAGTTCTTAATATACTAGTTGTGAGTTGTGACTCTTAACAACTAGTTTATACTTTTTTGTTGATTGGTACATATATAGTAGTATATTCGGTTCAACTTGAGCTCGAAATGTTTCATCTTTATAACAAGTGGTATTAGAGCTGATTGTTCACTTGAGATAAAGTCTTTCATGCAGTTTATGAGCCTTATTGGTCTTGGCTAATTCTATCATAATTAAACAAGTTTCAAAAGTGACTTTCACATGAACTTTAGGCTCTTGCGTGACCGTGATAGTACTAAAAAGGGTTCATTTAAGGGAGTGATAACTGATATGGAGAGCTCTCATGTTAGTGAGGAACATACTTTTAACGGCGAATGTCGCACTATGGCACAAAGTTCCCATTGAAGCCATGACGCATAGCGCATGGCGCGGCGCGCGCCATTTTGAACATGGCGCAAATTATACAAGAATTACAAAATAATAAACATGA